AACGTGACCTCTGAGCTCCCACAGCCTCTGGCTGTAACAGGGCCGGCACTACTGGGGCATCGGGACCAATGAGTTCATGGTGCTTTGGAGAGGTAAAGAGCTCTAAAAAGATGCCTTGTTATTATTGATGGTGATGGTGGCATGTAATATTTATGCACCACTTTGACTGCTAATCTCCAAAATGAGAATGGAGGAATTTAAAGATGCAGCCAGCTCTGGAGGTAGCAATTGTTCCTGATAACTCAGATGGAATCTCTAGCTCTGGTTGCCCGGCGTGCCTCTGGTCCTTGAGTTGGTTCTAAAATGGCACACAGCAATCCAGCCTTTGGATGATGTCGCTCACACCCTGCCAAGGACACACAGGGTACTGGGTGTGGGGATGGGGGGTTGGTAGATGGACAATTTGTAACCTTGTGATATGCATTCTCGCATATCCTGGCCAGCCTAGGATCAAAGTGTGTGTGTGGACAGACAGGTTTGACTGATAGACAGGAAGACCACCTTGCTTGCATTGAATGCTTCTTTTGCATGTGAATAAAATAAGGTTTGCATGACTATGGCTGGAACACCACCTCGAGTGGACAAATGGGTCATAGGACTCAAGAATGTCTGGGTTTGTTATTTTTTAATTTTAAAGCCTCTCAGCTGTAAAAAAGTGAGAGACAAGGCTAGGCTGTGTGGTTTGCAGAGACTCCATCTCAAGGAAATAATTTACATAAGTCCACTTGTAACCTGGGGGAACCAATCTGCAAATAAATGGGACTGCGTCCAAAGATCTGGAGCATTTGCTCCCTTGCAAAGCTCCCCCTCACTCCAAGCAGCGTGTGCTTGCAGTTTCATTGCGTTGCACGGATCCTGGCAGGCCAAGAGATGGCACTGGGCAAGATCTGGGAGAACTGAGATAATTGCTTTCCATATTCAAAAGCTCAACCAGTTTAGTGTATTGAAATGCCATGTCATGCCTGATCTTGAGCAAGCTTCCCTACCAATTTTGAGGCCAGACCTCCCTGGATTTGAATCTCAGCTCTGCTATTTTTTAGCTGTAGGATTTGGGGAAGGTCTTTAACATCTCTGTGCCTCAACATTCACAACTGTAAAATGGGAATAACAACACTGATTTTATAGGATTGTGATGATTATAGGAGATAATGTATGTTAGAGCCTTACAAAACATCTGGCACATAGTAAGGCTGTCAATAAGTCTTAAATCCTATTACATTCTTATAAATGCCACACATGCTATGTTATTGGAGGGCAGGCAATTGGGGCAAAGTACCCCGTGGGAATCTGTCCTTCCTTGGGTGAGGGGGACGGTTGTGGGAGAACAGAATTCACCCATCAGTTATGAGGTGAAGGTCAGCAGCACAGCCTTCCTACTTCCCAGGACGTATAATGCTTACTTAAATTATGTCAAGTTAGTTCAGAAGTTGTACTTAATCCGTGTTTACCAATAGGTACCTTCTGTAAGTTAATATACTAAAGACAAACATATATGTAGTAATGAAAAGTAGAGCCCAAAGCTGAAATTATTATGCATGATAAGTTTTAGTAGAGGAGAGCTCATTACTGCTGCTGGTGGTGGTATTCCAGTCCCGAGTTCTGGCTCCTGCAGCTCGGTTGAGCTCCCAGGGCCTCGGCTGAGTGTAAAGTAACAATGAAGGTGCCAAGCTCTCTGGTCCCTTTGCCAAACAGCTTTCCCCTTTGCTCCTGCTCTCTCAACCCGGCCCATCTGTGAAGTTTGCTGGCAACAAGCAGGTTTAGGTTTGACAGGCCAGGCCTTAGAACGGTGTTCTCACACTCGAGGTACAGCAGAACCCCTGGAGTGCTCATTAAAACACAGATGCTGCCCCGCACCCCTCGTCGGAGTTTCTGAGTTAAGAGGTGGGGATGGAGCCTGAGATCTGCATTTCTAACCAGCTGAGGGCTGTTGAGTCTGCGGGTCCTCACTTTGAGAATGTCTCTTTAGGGCACTGCTTTCGAACCTTAGCTGCACTGGATCCACCCGAGGGAACCCCAGGCTGCACCCCAGGTGAATGCAATCGGGCCGCAGAGGGGGGCACCAGAGAGACCCTGGTTCAGAGGGGGAGCTGCCCTCTGACCACTGTGCCCTTGCTCGGTGCCTTGGGTTGTCTGAATCTATTATCTCAGGCTGACCCTGCGTGGATTAGGGCCCAGCACACTTTCTCTAAAGGACCATTGAGCAAATATTTCAGGCTGACGGCCCATGTGATCTCTGCTGCATATTCTTCATTCTTTGTTCGTTTGTTTCAACCTTTTAAATATGTAGTATTAGCTTGCAAGTCACAGAAAAACAGTTTGTGAACCCTTGGAGAATAGCCAGTCATGAACTATCAAATTTAATGATGAAAATAGATATTCACAATTAGCATTATTTATACAATAAATTAAAACCAAGGTAGAATGTAGATTAATTTAGAGGAATTAAAGGTACAATGTATATCTGTTATCTATAACTGCTTCTTCTAACAGTGTTCCTTTACACATTAAAAAAAGATGAGGGGTCCTGGCTGGTTTGGCTCAGCGGTTAGAGCGTCGACCTGCGGTCCAGAGAGTCCCAGGTTTGGTTCCCGCTAAGGGCACGTACCTCGGTTGCAGTTTGTCTCCGGCCCTGGTTGGGTCGTGCGGGTGGCAGCCACTCGATGTGTCCCTTTCACGTCGATGTTTCTCTCTTTCTCTCTCTTCCTCTCTCTCCCTCCCACTCTATCTGAACAAAAAAAATGAAAAAATGTCCTCAAAATAAGGATTAAAAAAAAAAAAGATGAGGGGTTTCCTTCCACCCTTCTTTTCTAGTCCATGGTCCTAGAAAAGCAGGTTTTGAAATAACGTCACTTCATTCAACATTGGTTAGGAAGGTGATGGGCTGCGTGGGACCTTAACTCTTGTTTATAACAACCAGCCTGGGGGGAAACTGCTTTTGTTATGAGTCATTTGTTTCGCTTCAAGTCTTGGAACCTGTTGAAAACTTACTACACCTGTTTCCTATTCTTGCTTGAAACAGGAGGCTTTCAAAGCCCGTAGCTAGCTGCTCAGTGGGACCAGCAAGTGTTAGTTGTCTTCTGAGTGTGTTCATTCTCTCCCAGAGCGTCTAGTCCTACCTTCTTAGCTCACCCTCTCTCCCCAGAGAAATGTATTCCTTCCGGAAGGCCTGGCTGTCCTGAACCTCTGTGTGTGCAAACAGCACCTCAACACGTGCGTCCCAGGGCACTTTCCCACGGCCCCTTCCCCTGGCTTCTCTCCTCTCCAGACCAAGGCGCCCGCTCCCTGGGTGACGAAGCTACTCCTCCCCGTCCCAGCCCGTCTGAGGGCCGCGGCCAGAGCGGCTGGCCAGGGTGGGGACAGGCCTCAGAAAGCCGAGCTGTTTGCTTTCACCTGTTCCGAACCTCAGAAAACGGCCGTCCCCACTCTACCCTGTCCTTTGTTCTCTCCTTGCGAGCCTTTTAAACACACTAGAACCTGTTAGTCAATCACCAAAGCTGACTTTTAAAAAACATAAATAATTAAAAGGAGAAGGGTGGGGACTTGGATGAGGAGATGGAAGGCCCCACTGTTTTCCAAGGATATAAGTGGCTACACGGGATCTGAAGGCACTTGAATGGCCCACCCGTTTAAAGGATTTGTTCTGCCCCAACTGCGCTACTATCCAGAAAAGTGATTAAAACCAGAGGCCAAGGGTGAGGCCTTGTTGGCTTCACGGGCCAGCAGCCTGCGCGGGTGCACGGGGCCCACGCTGAGAAGGGCCTCGCATGGTTTGCTGCTCTGCTGAGGGCATCTCGGTGGGCACGGGTGTGAGCGGAGGGGAGAAGCCCAGGGTGTGTCCCTGTTCTGTGCTGCCCCTGATGCCCTGTGAGCACAGAATCCCATTTAAAAAATGTAAATGATATAAGGCAGAAAGTGGACTGTGAACAGTGAAATCACTATCAGTTACATGGTCTTTGATTCATTTTTTTTCAGCTGGAGAGACACATTTTCATTTACGTTGAAGTAGGCTGACAAAAATCCTTCCAAACGTGAGGTCGTGTCAAAAAAGAATCCCTGTGGCAGGACCAGCTGAGGACACTGCGGGCGATGCCCTCTACCATCAAAGAGGGCCAGCAACCAGCAGAGCTACTCCCCCTGACACTGCCTGAACCTCTGCAATATGCTCAGCTCTTGAATTCGTGGTGTTTTACAGCAAAGCTCCTTAAAAGCCATTGAGAAGGGCCACATGCGTGCACGGGCAGTGACAGCGGGGCAGGCACTGTTCTAACACGGCCGCATTCCTTCCCAAAGGTGCGTGCTGGAAAGGCACCCCAAAAACAAAAGGGTGCTTGGCTGGGGGCATAACCAGCAGGAGACCACGCCCCCCCTACTGACAGCGGAGATCTGTGTTTGGACACAGCAGTTACCACCCAGCAAGGCCCCTTCTCGCCAGAGCCCCTCCCAAACTGCTCACTGCTGTCAGCAGACGCGCGTGCCCCATCCCTCTACGAAGCTGAGCTTTCCAGACAAGTCAGGCATCCGCACACAGGGCTAGGAGTTACGGATCATTTCCTCTGTTTATGGGATGAGGAAACTGAGGCTTCGTGAGGTCACACGGGAGGAAGGGGCAGAGCCGGGACTCCAGGCTGGGCTGTCTGGCCCAGAGGGGGCTCTCTGCCCTCGGCTGGCGGGTACTTGTTTCCCTTGCCTGGGGATGAGTGCCACCAAGTGTGCTCTGAGCTGTCCTCCCAACCCTTCCTGAGAGTGCGTCTAATCTCCCCCAGGTGCTCGGAGGTCAGGTCCGGGTCTTTATGTGTTTCTCAGGCCCGAAGAGTCAACGCTCCTAGCAGGCAAGTGGGGAATCTGTGTATATTAATGCCCCCACCCCCACCCAACGCTGTCTGCTCTGTGGTGTGCTGTCTTGTAAGTATATACTTGACGAACTCGGGAACCCACAAGGGCCAGCAGAGCAGGGACATGTACAAGAAGCAGAGCCCAAAGGAACCAAAGAGGATTCTGACCTGTACTCGCGTGTCTTCTCTGTACTTCTCTCCCAGGTCCCCTCCTCCACCAGCCACCGAAACAGCCAGACCTCCTTGTCCACCCGTGGGTATACTATTAACACAGAATATTATATATAAATAATAAATAATATTACATATCATATAACTAGAGAGTACAGCACACACGGGATATACTAACTCCCATGGGGTTTAGTAAAGGTGGTGGTAAATACACATTCTGTGCCCCAAACCCGGACACAGTGCTGGACACGGGAGCCGCACTGCGGTTTGTGAAGGTTTTTATAGGAAGAGACAACATGAGAGATGTTTTACACGGAGCCCTGCTGTAAACAGGGTCAGGGCGAGCCATTAGGTTGCTGTCCTCAGAAATCGCTCAGCTACTTACGGAAAATGGTGCTGAGTGGATATCTCCTGGGCAGGAGGCACCTCTGGGCAGTTTGCCTGGGAACACACCGACGGAGGATGACAGTCACCCTGCATAGGCAGCTCTGCCCGTCAGCGTGTGGCTTCGCCACCGCGCGGATATTCAGCGTGTCCTCCAGCTCTAGCGTTCATGGCACAGGGGCTTCGGGGTCTCCCACATACCCCTCGTATTGTGTGTAAAATCGTTTTCATATTAACCCTGACCCCAAATCCAGGGAATTTAAACCGGTTACAAAAAATAAGAAACCCATGTGATGAATTCCATGGCCAAGCAGACAAGGTCTGTGGGATAAGGTCTGTGGGATAACCACTCCGGGGTCTGAATCATTGCCTGGTGTGCTATGTTGTTACTTCAACTTGGAGTTGAAAAGGCCCCTCGGAGTCTTCTGATACAATGGCTTCCTAGTTTTTAGCAGGAGGACTTTCTTCAAAAGAAATCCTACCTGGAAGCCAACCTATGACTCAGATTAACCCTGAGCAGTTGGGGCCCCCAGGGCCCAGCCTATGGGTTTGCTCCTCCCTCAGAAGCTCCTAGAGGGCAATTTGAAAACGGTGCAGCCAGTTCCCTCCATATTGTTATTTACTCGCTTTCGTGAGTACAGACTGTGTTCTGGGTGCTGGTGAGCCAGCAGGTAACAGCACGAGGGAGGCCCTGCTCTCCAGAAGCTCAGTGCGGTCCGACGGGCAATTGGGTCAGGGTGATGTCACTGGGGCCAGGAGGTGGCTGCTTCAGTTTGGGGGTCAGGAAAGCCCCTGAGGAAGTGAAATACGAGTTGAGAGCAGAAGGACCACCTGGGAAGATGCTTTGGTTCTGACCAGAGGCAAAGTGACTGTCCCCAGGTCACACAGGGGCAGGAAGCCCAGCTGGGACGTGACCCTGGGTTTCCAAGCTTCCTGCTAGGACTCTTTCCTTTTACGATGTTTACCAAATAGCTACTACATTCAAAGAAGTTGAGGTGACAGGCAACATCCCAGGACAAACCACCAGCCACATCCTGGTATTCGGGGCTGCCTGTCATGACTCTTGACGCCCCTCCTCGCCCGCAGCCCTCGGGCTCTCTAATCCAGAAACCAGCACCCTCCAGTTGACATCCCTGACCCGTGACCTGGTTGGGAAGGCTTCCTCCTCTCCTGTCTCCCTGGCTGCAAACTATGGAAAATGCTCCTTACTGCTTCCATTGTTGGCAGATGATAACAGCAAGACAGTGGGAATAAACCTCCTGGCTCTCCTGGAGGAAGGGTCCCTGGACGTCACGCTGCTGTGACCCAGGGCCACCCAAGCCAGTTTTCCCCTTGTGCTGCAGAAGGCACTCACACAGAACCATGGCACCACCGCCTGCATGCACATCACTCCCAGAGGCCAAAGTCTGCACAGGCAGACACCCCATTACGCAGAATATCACAGGAGGCAACATGCAAATGGCTCCGTCTACAACCCACAAACCAAACAGCTCCAGGCCCCCAAATGTTGCCCACCCCCTCCTAGTTGGCACCTGTGGGCCCAGCATTTGCCCTTTGCCCTCAGATCCCTACTGCTGTCAAAGCACTTCCCAGGCAGAGCTCACTCGAGCCTCTTGAGGTAGGCAAGACAGTGGTTTTGCACTTGAAGCAACTGAACCCCAGTGACCTGTGCTGGGGACTAAGTAACAACCACTAAATTTTGATTCAAATCCAGGCCTCTCCAGACTCCAACTGCAGATTCTTTCCACTATAATCCAGCTGCCCACAAGTTAAACACAGATCATCCGTTGTGGCCTAATACCACCTTCATTCTCTCCCCTCTCCCCTCGAGTGTACCTAGGAGTTTCTCCAGAAGCTGCCTCTTCTCCCCACGCCACCCCTGCCTCATCATGTGTGCTGACAATCTGGAGACCCTGGTAGCACTTACTCCCGCACAGTCAGCAGCTTGGACCCAGGTGCGATGCTCTCCTGTCCAACCCAAATGAGCCCTCCTCCCTTTTATATTTTCCAGCCTGTTTATGCATGTGAACACTGCACATATCACTGGTGAAAACAACACACTCTAGAACGTTTCACACCTTCCTTCTTTCCATACCAAACCAATCAATGACACAGTCAGCAGTTGGCAGGCAAACACAGATGACAGAGTATGCAGAACCTTGTTCCCCAAAAGACACAGCTGTGCCCATGGGACTCAGGGACAGCCCTGCACAGGCATACAGACTGCTGAGGACAATCCTGGGCACAGAGGAGACCACCCGCTGCCAGCACGTAGCAAACCCCTTTGCATGGGGCGCAGAGCCAAAGACTGTTACTCTGTAGTTGGGACCACTCTGGTTCTGCTACCTTATGCATAAGCCGGTGACTAGAATTCAGGGTGGACAACGAGAAAGACGTTTTGAAGAGGGGCAGACAGTCACTGAGCAAGCTGGACAGCACAAGCCAGTGACGGGCCCAGAGCTGTCTCCGGAGACCTGCGTGCAGAAATCAGAAGTGCAGTTCAGGACGCAAATGCTGGGGCCCCCATACAGACACCAGTGCATACACACATTCATCCTGAATGTTCCAGGATTCCTGCCCCACTCTTCATCCAAAGTCAGCTTGCCCCTGCCGCCTGGGAACCCCGTGGTCCAGCTCCGAGGATCAGGCAGGGAAAGTGGGGCGCCTGCTCCCCGCGATCCACCGGCCTCGCGGGGACGCCCTCCTCCCCGTGAGCCCCAGCCCCCGTGGCCCTCCGGAGCCCGGCGCACTGCACTTACCGGCCGCGGGCCGCGGGCTGGGTGCGCAGCCAGGGACTCGGAGCCCAGAGGCGGAGCGGCGGCTTGTAGGGCCGCCCCCTGCCCGCACGCCACGCCACGCTCCTGACCTCCCACCGGAGAAGGGCTGGACCGCGGGCCCTTCCTGCCGGCTGGCGCCTCTGCCCGCCCCGCCCCGCCCCGCCCCGCGGCGCCCACCCTCCCCCGGTGCCCTCCGTTCCCAGGCTCGCTCTCTCCCCAGAAGCCCCGTGCGGCCCGTCTTTGTTCCGGAGGTGGCCCTTTTCCCATTCACAGCACACAGCGGATTAGGTCGGAGTTAGGGGCAGCTGTGCGGTTGCCTGGGGATCTTGTTAGGCGGTGGTGGCACGGACCGGGGGTTGGGCGGGTTACCGAGCGCCCAGCCTGCCCCTGGCCTCCTCCCCGCCCCAGGCCTCTTTCAGGTCTTGCTGTCCCCTAGGTCGGCCCCTGGTGGAGCAGGAAATGAGCAGGGTCCTGGAGAAGCTGGCCCAGGAGGGCTACCGGGGTCTCTAGGGACAACCCTGTCTGATCACAAGGAGCCACAACAGTGCCCAAGGAACACTACCATCCCGGCCCTGCCCCCTGAGAGCCCCACTGACCATCAGCTAGATTCACATTCCCGGGGCCGGGGGGCACCAAGATCTCTTCCTAGACGGGAAGAGGAAGACCAGGCCCGGGCGCAGAGCAGGGGAAAGCTGCCTACAGCTGGCTGCGTTCTACCAAGTGCGGCAGGCATACTTCCCAGGGCAGCAGAGGCCTGTGCTCTCCAACCATGTTCTTCAGAAACTTGACTGCAGTGAGCAAGGTTACCCATTTACCAGGCTGCTGGGTCAGGGGAGCCTCCGGAGGCAGGCAGAGCAGACAGGTAAGGCATAGGGACACCAGCCTTCTATTTTTTTTTTCTTGGGTTGCCTAAGACCATCGGAAAACACATGTTTCCAATGGCGATTCGAAACAGTAGCAAAATTACAGTTATGAAGTAGCAACGAAAATAAGTTATGGTTGGGGGTCACCACAACATGAGGAACTGTATTACAGGGTCACGGCATTAGGAAGGCTGACAACCACTGACCTGGAGAGATGTGAGGCCGAGAGAAGATGAGATGAGGGAGGGCAGACAGGTGCAGAGGGCTGGGCTGAGGACAGAACCCAGGTCTACGCAGCCGATGAAAGGAACTGAGACCGTCCAGGGGAGTTAGCACTGTCAGGGAAATGACACTCCAGAGAGAGGGCGTGGTCAAGAGGGGCCCAAGCTGCAGGGACACCAGAGGAGTGTGAGCAAGAAAGCAGGAAATCTTTGGGGACTTTTGAGAGAATTCGTGGTGGGGAGTATGAGCCAGATTGCCCCTCCTGGGTACGTGCAGGGATCCATAGGCGCGTCCTTTTGCTTCCACTCCAGAGGGTCCTGAAGGGCTATCCCAGCTCCAGAGCCTCCCACGGGATCAGCTGAGGCTTCCGTGGAAACTGCATCCCATTCAAGGTCCCTCTCTGCCCAGTCCCATTTTCTCACTTTCTTACAGGTGTGGTTCCCGAGTACGTCCCGACAGACCTCCTGCTTGCTGGTCTCCATCTCCACCTCCATTTCCATGCAGAGTCCGTTTCCGAAAATCCAACCTGACACGTAGGGGCACTGAGAACGGGAGAGTGAGAGGGAAAAGGTGGGGTGGTCACCAGACTCACTGCGGTGAGCGCGTTGTAAGGTATATGAATATGGACATACATATTTATGTTGTACACCCAGAACTACAGTAATATTGTATATTGACTATAATTAAAAATAATTTCAAAAAAAGAACATAAAGGAAAAGGAAAAGAATAGGTGGATGACGGTAGAGAAGACAACATGAACCACCACACGACCAAGAACATGGTGGGAGAGACCTGAGCAAGCGGAGAACGTAGCCTTTCCCTCTGACCTTCCTGCAAGACCTGGAATGAAGCAGACCCCCAATGCAGACCTGACCTCCAAGGAAGCGGTTTTAAGAGACAGGTTGTCAGAAAAAGAGAGGTGATGTTAAAGGAAAAGACAGAAGTGGGGAGCGAGAGGAGAGTTATTCATAGTAGAATATGATTGCGATAGTCCCGGTGAAAGGGAGACCGGTAGGTTTTCAAAGGACAGTGGGGGGCGGGGGGCAGGCCTTTGGAGGGAGAATGCTCTCAGTGGGGAAAGGATGAGGGGGAATGAGTGTTCACTAAAGTTAGTAATATTGAAACAGGATTTGGGAAAGAGAGGGTTGGAAAATGTTCTGCAGGGACCTTTTAGCAGTATGCTCCACTAACAAGATCCTAATCTGCTCCATCTTATTGCACAGAACACACTTGAAGATGAGGGAGAAGTTGAAAATCCAACATCTGTGGAAGGGAAATGGGGATTTGGCTCGGACGAGATGAGAAATAAGGAAAATGAGACACGAGTTGGAAGTACGCCATCCTGACTGTTACTTGTTGTTCGCACAAGGAGTCTGGGGTTTCTTTCCAAGTTGGGTGCCCTGGAGATTGAACGGATAGTGCACAAAACAACTCTTGTTGATGTGATCGCCCATTTTAGTGGTTCCCCTTGAGCTCTGAGCACTGGCCGAGTCTAAAACACTTGGCTGTGCTGCTAGGTCTGGTCCTCATTTCCTGCATCCGCAAAATGGGGGAAAATCCCTTATTTGTGGGGAAAATGGGAAGGATCGGTGAAATCCCGATTGGGAAGCTGCAGTGGAGGAGGAGGGTTAGTCCCGGATTTGGAGATGGTGCCCTCAACCAGCTGTGGCACATCTGCTCCCAGCTGGGCGCTGGCAGCCTCTGCTTTCCATCCACACTCAGGCACCATGTGCCTGCCTTACATCCGATAGATCCATCATGGGATGCTGGAGTGATGGAGGTTCTAGAGACTCCTTTAGAGTTGTGAAAAGAATAATAACATCACTTAGACTTTCCTCCTTTGCTGTGAAAGGTCTTACTTCTATTACTAGGAGGTACAGGGTAGATTTGGTGGTGATTCTGTTGTAATTAGTTAATTATTAATAATAGAAAAGGAGCAAAGGGAAGGCCAGACGTTATAGACATGTTCCCTGCCTGCAAAACACTTGGGGAAGGAGACTGGACAAAAGGAAGATAGATGCATGCCCAGGAAAGTTGGGATGACATAGGGAAGGTGCTTGCTGTCAGCCACACCTAGGAACAGAGGTCTTTAGCCAGAATTGGGGTGGCCCCTGCAAGCCTGTGAAGATTTGGGATACTTAACCCCTAAACAAAGGAGTTTGCTCCCTTGGTTCCTCTTGGCACGCTTGGTCATGGCTCATGCTTGGCTTCCTGGCATTCTCCCATGTGGCCCATGGCCATGTGGACCCCACACACAATGGACTAATGGACTGCAGCTGGGCTGATGCTGAACTGGACCCGGTTCCAACAGGGAAAGGAGACTCTGGACACTGGCTGTGCTTCTAGCTTCACTGAAACCCCAGCTGCACTTCTTCCAGGACTGGGCTAAGGGAAATGGGACTTCAGAAACACAAGGATTTAATTCCACACAAATAAAAATCACTCGTTCTCCCATGTGAGTGTCAGAAAATTCTTTTTCTCTGGATATCGCAAGAACTCCACCCCCAGCAGCACCCAGTGGGGAAGAGGACCCCCTGCTTTGTCTGATAACAGTGGGAGCCCCTCCACTCCAGCAGAGAGCCTGCTAGCCTTGCTTCCCAGCAACAGTATCTATAGCCATTTCTAGAAGTGGAGTCACTCAAATGGATGGTCACACACACATGACACTGATGAGTATGACCTAGTATTGTTGGCATCCCCAGAATATATGGCACATTAACTTAATATTCAGGTTGTACCCTAAACCATCACAGGTTAGGAAATGTAAAACTTGGATTTTCTCATCCTCTGAGTACAAGCTTGTCTTTCAAAATAATGTCCAGTCACTACCTGGGAGGGCTGCAAGGAAATGAAGGTTCCCTTGACAACCTCAGCTCCTGCCTCCCTGACAAGCCTGCTTGGTTAAGCTGCTTTGATGTGGCCCCGATAAAACACTTTGTATAGACTGAGCCATTCCCAGAAAACAGCTATGTCCTTGGAGGAGGAAACACCCAGGTAGAAAGCACTCCCTCCACACACACATCTGACTCGGCCTGTTTCCCCATCTTTAAAATGGGGAGAAACTCATGAGATTTTTTTTCTACCATCTTAGACAGTAGAAACTGGCCTTGAATTCTTCACGTGTGTGAAAAATAGAGCTACTTAGGTCTTGATCAGTGCCTTTCCATCTTCCAGAAGAACTGGGAATGACCAGATGTTAAATACTGACCAGTTAGCCCTGGCTGGTTTGGCTCAGCAGTTAAAGCGTTGGCCCATGGACCAAAGAGTGTCAGGTTCAATTCTGGTCAAGGGCACGTACCTCCATTGAGGTTCAGTCCTCGGCCCCAGCTGGGTTCGTGCAGGAGGCAAGCAATTGATGTGTCTCTCTTGCGTCGATGTTTCTCTTTCTCCCCCTCTCCCACTCTATCTAAGGATAAATGGAAAAATATCCTCGGGTGATTGACCAGTTAATATTAGCTTAAATTCAGCCGATTAACTTGCATTTAACTATGAACTTAGTGACTGAGCTCACTCATTTTTGCAACAATACCTGGCAGTTAATAGGAGGTGGCAAAGAAATGGTTGCAAAATTGAACCTCACAGTCTCAGTTGTAGTTCCCACGAGAGAGATGTTGCACCAGAAGCAGGAGTTTTTCCATTGTGAGGCATAGGTCCAATGACACTGAGAACATTGGTTGTACTAATTAGTGCTGGACATCATCATTGATCTTCATTAGCACTCTTAAAAGCACTGCTCAGATGTCCAATTGCTTGTCATGCTCTCTCGGCATTCTACATAAAAGGCTTTACAGCCTGGTTCTTTCCCAGGACAATATTATTTAAAGCAAAACATTTGGGGTACAGAAAACATAAATACAGGAAGCTGAGCAAATATATAAATAGTATGCAAAATGATAAGTACTTACAGCTGGAATTTTGGGGTACATGTAGCACACACTACTAATCTCTCTCTTCTCCTCTAAGAAGTTTTCTAGAACCTGCTTCTATAACTGGGGCACAGGCTCTCTCGGGGTCCACGCCCACATGCCAGGGAGGAAGAGAAGGAAGCCTTTGGATAACACCGTGAGTTTTCTGGAGCATCCATGTTATTTAAGATTTGTATTTGGGGGATAGGTTTTTAATATTTTAAAAAGTATAACATCTGTATATCTCATTGTAGAACATCCTATCATTATAAAATATTAAAGAAGAAAATAAAATCACCTGAAATCTTAGTTATCAGAGATAATCATCATATTATTTTCTTGTGTGTGCATATGTGTGTGCATGTAACCTGATTTATTTCACTTTAGAATATATTCTAATCATCGTTTAATGCCAATAGAGTTAAGAATATATTAATCATTTTTATGTAATATATGGATGTACTACAATTTGTTTAATCAACCCCCTATTCATGAATATTTAGTATGTTTTCCATTTTAAAAATATTTTACAATGTGGTCATGCAACACTTCTTCACACATATCTTTGCCTACTATTCAACTATCTCTTCATGAAAAATTTCTAGAAATGGAGTCACAGAAAATACCACATATATTTATATAAATATATGTGCGTGTGTCTGTGTGTATACAACACTATCCATAGAAAAGGTGGGAAGAATATGTTTCAAACTTATTATGGTCATTACCTCTCGAGAAAGGGCTGAGATTGGGGATGTAATCAAAGAGGAATTTCACCAAATCTATGATGTTTTAGTTTTCACAAGGATAAAATATCTGTGCAACTTAAAATTAAAGGCAACACCAGCAAAAAAACAATAAGATAAAGTAGTTATCAACTGATAATCACATATCACTGGAAATAAAACTTTCCACTTTTTTTCTTCCGGAAAAAATGTAAGGTAAATACTGGAAGAATAGAAATAGGATAGTGTAAGAATTGTAAACTGAGAAAAGAAAAAACAGGGAACACAATACCTAAAAGCCTGATTAACCCAACAAAAGTAAGGAATGAAGAAAAAGAAAAGAAACAACAAGAAAGTAAATAGAAAATACAGGTATGTGGACAAAGTCAGTCCAGCTATACCAGTGCTCACAATTACTGTGATTTGGTAA